GTTTTTTTTTTTTTCATATTCATGACCTCCATATTAAAGATTATATATTCCCTAAAAATTAGGATCAAATTATATTTAAAAACATATTTATTGCCAAGCCTGCATTTCTACAATATGCGAGGTGGCCGCATAGAAACCGTGTCCGTGTATAAATTGGCGACCTTAAACTATACAAGTATGACTCACCTCTAAATTTTGTCAAAAAATACTGTTTCGGTGTCGAAAAACCTTATCATGGATTGAAAATCCATACTCAACCTTAATTATGAACTTTAAAATTTAAAACAATTATACACTTGAGAATCTTGAATACATATGGTCCAAATAGCCTGTTACAAGATGTACTATTTTCAACTATTTTCAAATCTTGAAAATTCTTTTATTTTCATCCATCTTGAGGTCGTGATTAGTAAAAAGGTATTCCAACATAAAAACGCTCTTTTCCACTGAGTTTCAAGGTGCACCTTGTTTGTTTTAACCACAAATAAACATTTTCCAACTTGAAATTGTCTTGTTGCATTACACCGAGCACAGCAGCCATTAAAAGTCAAAGTGCATATGATGCCAATTACCTTTCAAGCCCTATATTAAGTTAAGATTAAGCGTACTATACATGGAACATCCATAAGAAACCACCACATGAACCCATGTGCACCACAAGCCATTAGAATGAACAGTCAAGATTAAAAGGGATTGGAAGTGCTTTGTTTGGTAAACAATATCGGCCAATTGACATCAATATTGACATTACCAGTTCACTAATTTTGGGTAGGAAAGTATGATTAGCCTAGTGTTTTATAACCCAAATAGGGCATACCGTTCACCCCCAGATCGTGGGATTGGTAATCTGGATCAAATTTGGATCAGTCTGAATTAGTGATCCAAAAAAATAAATGAAACAAGATTAAAATTAAACTAGGGGTTCTTTGGGTGGGGATTTAGAGGGACATAAACAAACATTAAAAGAAAATGGTTTGATAGGGCTACAACCTCGTCAAAATAAGTAAAGCCTCACTTCATAATTCATCAAAAAATACAATTCAATCATTAAAAAACCTTTACATTGATCATCTTGACATATTAGTTGTGAAAAAAATTAGGATTTAGCTCTAAAAATCATGTATATTGTAACAAATTATCTAGAACCAGAAGATCTGTACTATTTTTTTAGTTTCAAATTTTATTATCGGTATTAAAAATTGATTTAAATCTATCATGGAGATTTTCATTGTTGAAAATGCTTTCCAGACATGGATTTTAGGTGAGGCATTATTTTGTTTTCATATAACCTAGGCCCTACAGAAACTTCATCTATCATTAAATAAGCCTAAACGAAAAGAAAAAAATATATAAGTGGGAGGAGTTTGGGGGGAATCGGGCTGGGACTGATACCATTCAGAACCGGTGTGGTCTCAAACCAACTCCCATCCAAATTGACAATTCAGTTTAGAAATTGCGAGGTTTTAAACATTAGATTAGCGAAACTAGATCCCTTTTCTCTTTTTTGTCACCATGATTTGTGTAAGTCACGAAAGGTGTGACACATGCATTTTGACTGCCAGTTTAAAAAATGAAGGATCGAGATGAACTATTCGTCTTTGAAAAGAAAAATATATATTCTCAACCTTATCATATCAAAAGATGGGAAAAAATTGAAAGATATGATGAAAATAATCATTCTAGTCATTCCATTGATAAAATCCTAGGGCCGATAGTATCAAAAACCTTTATGATGGCCTGAAAAATAATTTTCATAACTAATTATAAAATTTAAAGCTTAAAAAATAGTGTAGATCAAATATATCTATGAATACTTGAAAATCAAGAAAATTGATAGTCTAGGTAATGCATTACAAGATGCACTATTTTTAAAACTTGAATTCCATTTTTTTTAACGTCCATATATCTCAAGGTCTAAATGATTAAATTTAAAGGTTTCAGTATCGAAACAACTTTTTCAAGTAAATTTTTGAGGTGCGCCTTAGTTTGATTGTTTAGGTCTTAACCTTATATAAACTTTTTCCTTTCTTGAATTGGGTCATTTTCTTCTCCCTATGAATATATGGTAATCTTCCCTATCTACTTTGTTTTTAGCATTGCAAATAGGATTTTTGAAGGTCCAAGGGAGAGAACCAAATATTCCTTTTGGCTCTGCTGTCTAGAGCAGATCATCAATTGATAGATCTTGAGTCCATGGCCATAAGCCCATTATATATCAATAACTTGGGGTCCTTTGAGAGGGTTGAAGATCAATCCTTGAACAATACAAGCATTCTTGATCATTCAAAAAACCAGAAGATTCACTACACTTTGTACTTAATTCATGGGTTTTCTTGTTTTTCTCTCTCTACATACGTCTCCATCTTCATACCTCTCTCTTCCTCTGCTTCTGTGGCTTTGGCTCCAAATTGTGGTTTTCTCTTTCCCTATTGAACATACATATTATCCCTCAAGACCCACCTTATTACTTTCCCCCTCTCCATCCATGTTTCTTGGGGTATTGTGAAAGTGCTATAGGCTAAATTACCAGGGCCCTATTAAAACTCCATTTACATTTTTATGAAGTGTGAAAGTGCTTTTTCAGGCGAATAGAAAATTACTTTTTCAAAATTTCCCTTGAACTCGATAAAGCAATGGTTTCAGATTCACTTCGGAGTTTTATTCAGATTAGTAAAAAAAACAGAGAAATTCCGTGTTTCGGCTAATTCGGGGAAGACTTCAGACAATTATATATATTTTTTAAAAATTTAGTATAATCAATTAGATATTTATATATAAAATATATGTAAATAATAGAAAAAACTAAAAAAGAATAATACTTTTGTATAAGTATTTTTTTGCTAGCCGAAGCAGACCCGAAGCATATTTGAACTAAGACCCGAGGCAAACCCGAATCTAGCCTACGCAGCCCGAAGTGGCCCAAATCTGACCGAAGCGGCAACACCATTCTTCGCTTCTCTTCTGTTTATGTCTAAAATCTGAAGGCTTTGGCTTTTTCGACTGAAGCGAAACAAATTTGATAACATTGTAACAAAGTGCTTGGATGGTTAAAATTACTTTTTGAAGTAAAAAAGATTATATGATTATTTCAGAGCCAAAATAAAATTCTATACTCACCCAAAAACCTTATTAAAAGCATTTTGTGGACCCAAAATTTAAAGGAAACTTAATATTAAACACATATCACCCCTTTTTTAATCAGTTTGCCTATGACACAAATATTATTTTTTAGCCTTTAAAATTACTCATCCAAGGATTAGGTGATTCTAAGCTTGAATATAAAATAAAGAAAAAAGGTTTATTTAAGGACGAAGACTTAAAACAATCAAATAAATGCGCACCTCAAAAATTCATTAGAAAAGATTTGTTTGGATGCTCAAAAACCAAGGATTCGAAATAGTGCATATTGTAATGCTTTTTCGGACCGTCAATTTTCAATATTTTTCAAATGTTCATAGATCTATTCAATCTAGACTATTTTTGAAGCTTTAAATCAATGTTATTAAATTTGCTTCGTTTTGGGCGAAGAGGCTGAAGCCTTCGGATTTTAGGCATAAACAGAAGAGAAGCGTAGCCTGGTGTTACCATCCAATCAGAGTCGTACCGCTTTAGGCTGCTTCAGTCAAATTCGGACCGCTTCGGGTTTGCTTTGGTCGGCTTTGGCCAGCAAAAAAATAGCTATATAAATGTCTTTTTTAATTTCAATTTTTTTTATTAATTTGTATATATTTTATATATAAATATTTAATTTATTTATATTAAATTAAAAAAAATTCGCAGTCTTTTCCCAAATCAGCCGAAGCACCAAATTGCTTCATTCTCATCAGACCGAAGAAGAATCTGAAGCGAATCTAACAACATTGTTTTAAACTTTATAATTAGATATAAAATATCACAATGTTTATCCTAGTCATTACGATTTTTAAAGTATCGTAATGTTTAGCCTGGTCATTACGGTACTTACTTAAAGAATCGTAATGTTTAGCTTGGTCATTACGGTACTTACTTAAAGTACCGTAATGTTTAGCCTGATCATTACGGTACTTACTTAAAGTACCGTAATGTTTAGCCTGGTCATTACGGTACTTACTTAAAGTACCGTAATGTTTAGCCTGGTCATTAAAGTATCGTAATGACTAGTCATTACGGTAATACGACTAATGTGAAGCTATTTTGATAAAAAAAAAATCAAAATTGAGAAAAAAAGGTGTGGACAAAATTTAGATTTATAAAAGTTGAATTTATTTTTCCAATTAGATAAAAATTAATATATATTTTTGATAATTTCCTTATTTTTAATAGTATTTGAAGGCGCGCCTTATTTTGATGGTTTAGGGCCTCGGCCTTATACAAACCACGCCCATTCCTCTTTTAAGGCGATGTTTTACCAGAGGGAGCAAGTGAATAAAATTCTCCCGCGGAGCATACACGTGCATTACATACATTTTTATGAGGAGTACATGGCATTTCGTTCCCCACGTGGCAACGATCTGTCATTGGTGCAATCCCAAAAGTCAACTTTTATCACTTCCAATTTCAAATCAATTCACCGACTTTTGTCCTCTCTCTCTCTCTCTCTCTCTGAGAAAGAAGAACGTGTCTTCTTTCAATCTCTCTACTCAAATTAGGGCTCCTCCTCCACCAAGATTAGGGTTTTCCTCCATGTGACACACCCCTGTTCTCCCAAGCTGCAGAACCCATGTCTCCTCTGTTGCCAATTTTGCAGAGATGGATTCTTTTTACGCTAATTTTGGTGGTTTTCAGTCGAGAATTAGGGCAAGCATTGAAGGTTCCTTTTAGGGTGAAGGATGTGTTGCCTGTGTTGCCTCGTCAAGTTTCATGGCCTGTGCTCAACACCCTACATAGTGCAGTTGATCTCTTGCCGTATTATGTTGGGTCTGTGACCCCTCAAGGTGAAAAGGTTGAGTGGAAAGGAGCCTGCTTTTATGGCAATGAAGCTCACCTGAAATTCACAGATAGTGAAAAGGATGAATTGGGTGGAGGGGTCATCTATGTGAAGGTTTTGTGCTCTGAATCTTTTTTTGTTTCTGGCTCAACTTTTCTCTTGTTTCGATTATATGCTTTTATGAATGACATCTTCTGTATTTTGGTTCAATTTTCAGGTTTCTTTGGATCATTTGTTTCAATTTTTTGGTTCAATTGTTTGGTTTTTTGTTAAATTGGTTGTGCTACTGTGGGTCAATTTCAATAGTTGTATCGGAAATTGGTCTATGCTCTTCTCCCCTCTTTTGGCTCGGCTATTCTCTTGTTTTTCCAATTGTTCGGTTGTTTGTTGGGTGGATGATGTCGCTTATTTTCCCTTTCAGTAGGTGTATTGGAATCTGGTTTAAGCTTTTTACGGTGACCATGATAGGGTGTTGTTTGGTTTCTCAAACATGTGGAACCTCGCATCATGCTTCTAGGGGAAAGGTGTGGAACTGCCATTAAATACATAATTATTAATTTTTGAAGTGTTTGACATTAAATACCTAATATTGGTGAAATAGTAGTCTAATCAGTAAATATATGTGGGTGGCTTGCCTTGCCATCCAAACATAGTCAATCCAGTAAATGGAATATAGGGTGCAATTAATTTGGACTTGTACTGTCTCTCTGTTAAGAAGACAAACCATGTGGAGCTCACAAACTTGCCTCGGTTATTAATCAGCACCATGAAGCATCTTCGTCCTGCATGTTGTTCATTGTGGATGTCATGGTGTCAATTGCAATATCTTACGATACAATGCCTCTATGATAGATGGGCAATTCCATCAGATTGCATGTATGTCCTTATCTTTGTCCTTGTTCCTAGAGATGTTGTTTGATCTCTTTATACTTTGACAGTGCTGTCGTGGGTAACATTTATCACCATGAGGTTATTGTGACTCTGAAATCAGGTGTTATGCTCCCCCAAAATTAAGGAATTAAAGATAAATTTGCTGGGACTTGGAGACGAAGAATGATAACTTATATTGAAAGAATAATTGAGGATAACATGGCCACTTTGAAGGGAACAGCTACCACCTTAGTGCTTTTCTCAATTTCAAAGCTCCTAATTCGAAAACCCTCTATTTAATTTCTTCTAACCTAAGGAACATAAATGTTTCAACATTCAATCTGTTTTTTAAACCTAAACCAACTCCAATATTATCAACTGCCATAGATTAATAACCAACTCAAAAAATGAATATTAAATAGGTCTCTAAATCAATAACGAGGTCTGTGACACACACACACACACACACTCTCATAGGTACTTTTGCCATGTGCCCCTCTAATGACCATCTTAGAGAAACTGCAAAAGTTTCTCCTCATTTTTTGAGAAGTAATGCCCTTATCCACGTGTTACAAAATGCTTTTGAATATAAATTTTTTGTTGATTTCCAAAGGCAATGCTCATAATACGCTATAAAGTCAGGGATGCAATTTGGCATTCAAAGATGTACCATAGATGGATGTATATGCAAAGCCTTTTGCATGAGCTTTTTATTGTCCATGGCAAATGATAGAAAATGCCCATACCCCAAATTATTTCTAACATTGAGTTGAGGTATTTATGTTTCTTGTAAAAGGTTGTGACTCATCCTAAGTTCACCATAAGAGGTTTGCAAGTTAAGAAATACTATATCTACTGTATGTGTTCGTTACATATGGGGATCTCCATAAGAGGAATGGAATATAAGAAATACCATATCTACTCTATGTGTTCATTACATATAGGGATCTGCATTCATTTATTTGAAATTCTTAGATTCCTATATTAAGTCTTAGTGTCATATAGTGTTCTATTGGAAGAATGGTCTTTTTGATAATAAACTGACGTTGGGGAAGTTTGGTTTTTCATAGACTAGTTATGTTGCTTGAGGCTCTGTTTTTTTTTTTTTTGCCGAATGAGTTCAATAATTCTGCTACAAATTATATAGAAAGTTTATTTATTTTGTGATGTCTTTTGAATAGTCCATGCTAATTCAAATTTCTATGCTCTTCTTAAACTTCCTTCTGTTTTGTTTTTTCTTACATCACAGACTGCTGAGGCTCACAGCTGGACCTGTATGGACCTTTATGTATTTGCAACACCCTACAGGGTCACATGGGACTACTATTTCACCGCCCGTGAGCATACACTGAAGATTGAGTCATGGGAAGAGTCTGCAGAGCTCGAATATGTTTGTTCCTGTTCCATATCTTCTCATTTATATTATTTGTTGTAATCCCATCCCATAATGGATGATGTTTCATCAGTCTTGATGTGACCAGGTTAAGCTGAATGGGATATCTGTATTCCTTATGCCATCAGGAATGCTGGGAACTCTTTTATCCATGATTGATGTCTTGCCGCTATTTTCAAACTCTGGCTGGGGCCAGAATGCGAATCTTGCGTTTCTAGAGAAACATATGGGCGCAACATTTAAAAAACGTCCAGAGCCTTGGATTGCAAGCATTCGTCTGGAGGATGTTCACTCTGGTGATTTTTTGGCAGTCTCAAAAATTCGAGGTCGTTGGGGTGGGTTTGAGACTCTAGAAAAGTGGGTCACAGGAGCATTTGCTGGCCATACTGCAGTTTGCTTAAAAGATGAGGAGGGCAATCTTTGGGTGGGTGAATCAGGGCATGAGAATGATAAGGTAAGATATTGATGACCTGGTCTCAGATGGTGAATTCTATCCTCCTTTTGTAAGTTGTGGTAGTTTCTAGCCCTTTATCTTGAAATCAACCTTATTTATCTTGAAATCAACCTTATTTATCTTGAAATCAACCTTACTTTTTTGCTGCTTCAATTTATATTGTTAGTATTATGCATCATAATTCATCTTTGCTCTCATATGATGAAGCTGCTCCGATTATTTCCGTTTTGCATCATGGTTCCAGTGGATTTTATTGCTTGACTTTGCTTATGCAGGGGGAGGAAATAATTGTCGTAATTCCATGGGATGAGTGGTGGCAATTGGCACTTAAAGATAGTTCAAATCCACAAATTGCTCTACTTCCTCTTCATCCTGACTTGCGTGCAAAGTTTAATGCTACTGCAGCCTGGGAATATGCTCGGAGCATGTTGGGAAAACCATATGGTTACCATAACATGATCTTTAGTTGGATTGACACTATAGCTGACAATTATCCTCCTCCTTTGGATGCTCACTTGGTAATGCATTTTATTTGTGGTAGTCGAATGGTTCTAAAAGTTCTATTCAGTATATGATTTTATGAGCTTCAGTAATTTCCTTTGGCTGATGGAAATGCCCATCATGGGATATGCTATATCATAGCAATGCTAGTACTATACTAGGGTTACTCCTAGTTTATAATTTGTTTATGTAGGCTAGTTTTATATTGTTGCTTGGTTCTGGGTTTTGTACTTACATGAAGCATTCTATGCACTGAACCGTGTTGTATGTATTTTCACCTACATGACTCATGTGACATTGATGGCTTTTGTCATTTTCTGTAAGTATTTTCTCATTTGTATCTTAGTATCGTTGAATGGACATGGCCTTGAATTTATGGAAAATAACTGTGGTTCAATCATATAGCCATGGGTTGGTCATAACAATTTGATAAGTTTGTGGAAATTCATGAAATATGAAAATTTGTTAAGAATCATATGGACAAAAGTAGTGAACTGGAGACATTCACCAAAAGAAGGTAGAAATTCATGAAATATGAAAATTTGTTGAGAATCACATATACAAAAGTAGTGACTGGAGACATTCACCAAAAGAAGGTAGTTGCATCTGGGTTATTTTTAGTAAATTTATTATTTATCTGCATTCATATATTTGAGAAATACAATGTAGCAACTGTAAGGACCTGTATGTCAAATCAGTAAATAATATGTAACAGTTATCAATCGGAGATATCTTTAGCTTATCTACGAAACAGAACCCAGTTGTTTCTGTGAGACTTGATGGTGTGTGGCTGCAACTGTTGGTCCTGAAGCCATATTCACCAGTAACATCTAAAGCTTGTATTCTTTCATGTAGTACAAACTTCCAGTGATATTGACTTGGAATCTCTTCTCTGCTCGTGCTTTTTGTGGCCCTGATCGTGAAGTTAGGTGGTCAGTCTGAATACCTACATATTAGCTATTTGGGAGATATTGAGGGCGGTCATACTAACATAGGGATTGTTATCTGCTTTGCCTTCTTAGGGGTCCTCTTTAGCTATACAGTTTGAAATCTCTCTTAAAACATTCTTATCTACTTTAACCAACAGAGAGCACTAACTGACTTGCAAACATTCTGAGGATGTGTACTGTCTTTATCACTTTGGATTTGAGATTAAATATCTGGAGACCGTGTTCTTGATTTTTTTGGTATATTCCCAGGAAGCTTAATTAACTAGAGATTACCTATCCCAGATATGAGTTTCAATAGTCTGTTTTGATCACTGACACCTAGTGCTTGATCCGGTGTTCTTGATTTTGTAATTGCATTGTTGCTCTACTATATGTTTCTGTGTTTATTATTTAATACATGCACACACACATATATATGTTTCTGTGATTTTGTAATTGCATTCTTGCTCTACTATATGTTTCTGTGTTTATTATTTAAAACACGCACACACACATATATAAACGATCAAGTAAGAAAGTTGGGACTGAAGATGAAATTATGGCTTAGTAAAATAATAGTGCGGACCATATAAGCATAGAATCCTAGTATATTTTCATACCTAATGCTTGGACAGTGTAGTTATGTACTCTGACAATGTTACTTTTATCTTCTGAATTTTGGCTATCAATTTTTTAAACAATTTGAATGTTATTTTTTAACTGGCACTGTATTTCCATCTTTGTAGTTATGGACCATGCTAGGTTACTGTTATATTTGTACCCTTATATTCCTAATGCCGATGGACTTGTTCTCAACTGCATGCGTATGTTCATTATGGTTTTCTGTGCTTTGGAATGGTCAGTCCAAGTAGACTACCACTTTCTTTCTATCTTTTTTTCTTATTTTTCCTTTTTTTTCAATTTTTTTAATAATTTGAAAAACATGGGTATACCTCTTTTTTTCAATAATTAGAAAATTTCCTGCACTTTATGATGATTTGGTATTGTCAGGTCATTTCTGTCATGTCAATGTGGACTAGATTGCAGCCGGCCTATGCTGCAAACATGTGGAATGAGGCTTTAAACAAGCGTCTAGAAACTGAGGTATGACTTTGTCTTAGACAATCATGAATCTATTCCTTTGTTTTGGGAATTGTAGAATGCCATTTTCTTTTAGCAAATCTGGTCAAGATGTTTACTTGTTTAAGTATTGGTTTTGTAAAGGATTATATTTTCAAGAGTGAAATTGTTTGCAGATGAGGTTAGTTTTGCAGGATGCTGCAATGATTTACTACTAGAATCTAATGATGCATTTATCACAACAGCATATCATATTTGTACGCCTGGTTCTCTGGATAGTGATAGATTCACTGATGGCCTACAAGGTTGCAGTTTCTGTCCTTAAAAGGCTCGTACTTATACATCAAAAGTGCGCAATATTCAAACCACTGCATACTCGCAAATTAAATATATGTAGGAAAGTAGGGGAAGCTGACTTATTGAGAGAAATGTAGATAGGAAAGGAAACTATGTAAGATTACATATGATAGCAATCTTAGAAATTGGCATCGCATAGTCAGTATCTACTGTTAAGGAAGTAGACCTTGCCCCTAGTTCTTAATTGGAGGCCAAGAACTCCATGCTCATCTTGCTTGGTTCGTAAAGATGATGTTATTTGAAATTTCTCGTGGTGAAAATTTTCATTACAATCAAGTCTGTCGACAACCATGGTAGAATATCTGTGATCTTACTCTGTTTTCACTTACATGCTTTTAACAAAGGAAAAAGTTTATATAGAGCCGAGGTTCTAAACAATCAAATTAGAGCCTATTTGAAGGTGAGCTTTACTTTGACTGTTTGGAGCCTCGGCTCTATACAAACCACACCCTTTAACAAAAGCATTTGCTTCAACTATTCTTGGACTAAACAAGTTTTGTAGTAGGGATAATTTGATGGAACAAAACCTTAAGAAATGACTCCTGATTGTGAAGATACCTTAAAGATCATTGTTTGGTAAAGGTTCTGAGACGCGCAACAACCTTAAAAAGCACAACCTGAAATTGATACAAGTGTTTATAAACGTGCCTCGGGCTTGGAACTGGGCATAGCCCAAGGCTGAGTCAGTGTGTAGTCTCAACAAGACTCGGCCGAGTCAGGAAAAGAGCCCGGGCAAAATTGGTTAGCCCTTCGACGATTAGCAAGTTGCATGCTCGATTCCAACCAAAAGGTAGGGGCGCTCTCCCCTGACCTTGACTCACCCACAAAAAAAAAATGAAAACAAGACTTGGCGGAGTCTATTAAAAGAATCACACAGAAACCTTGGGAAGCAGTGAGATTCTGCTGGTTCCCAAGGTTTCTCTGTATGTACCAGCACCCAGCTGGATCTGAGTAACTCGGGTTAGTCCAAGTTAAATTCCATAAGATTTAAGACATTGATAGATACCTTAAACTGCACTCCTGTTAAGGGTTTGCGACACACAGGCAGCATTCAATGAGCAAGTGGCATTATGTGAAAACTAATATCAATCACTAGAGCCTACTTCAAAACTATCAGATCCTGAAGAACCACTTTGAGGGGCCAGTTATCTCTTCTAAACTCTATTATTTGAAAAGTCATGAATCACAAACCATTAACTATCTTATTTACTAGTCATGAACAACAAACCGTTAAATGACAGATAGGCTATGGCATTCACCCTTTCTTTGTATTGAATAGTCTTTTCATTTGTTAGACTCTTCGACTCAGGCACCATTTGGATGGACTTATTTAATAATGAATGTAGCCCTTTTCCACCCATTTAGGACTTGTTAGGAGTGAAGAGCAGTGCAGCTGGTGACACTTCTATTCACGGTGGAGCACTTTTATAGCCCTGCTTATTAAGAAAATCCACCAAAACAACCTCAATTCAACATAAGAAACATGTTTTTGCATATTTCCAAGTAACTCCCTGCTCTAGTGAAATTGTTGGCTGTCCAGAGGGGCTTATATTTGCTACTGTGTATGTTTTTAGTATCTGTAATTAATTTGATTGTCCACACCTTTCAGGGTTTAGACTTACATGGAATTCTTTTGGAGACTGAAAAGCGTGGAATCTCCTTTGATCAATTGCTTACTATCCCCGAACAAGATGAATGGGTGTATAGTGACGGAAAGTCCACTACGTGTGTTGCCTTTATCCTTGAAATGTACAAAGAAGCAGGCATATTTGGTCCTGTTTCCAATTCAATTCAGGTCACAGAGTTTACTGTAAGTGCTGCATCTTACCACCATAGATTGCAAATATGCAGTTAATTCTTTCAACTTCTAAATGCTCTCTCTCTCTCTCTCTCTCTCTGTCTCTCTCTCTCTCTCTGTGTCTCAACTACCTGTTTGCCGATGCAGATTCGAGATGCATATATGCTTCGAATTTTTGAGAATAACAGCAGTCGCTTGCCAAGTTGGTGTAGTAACAGAGATACCAAACAACCTCCATTCTGTCAGATTCTAGGGGAGTATCACATGGAGTTTCCACGCTACAACACCGTTGAACTATATGGGCATATGAATGAGAACTGCCCTTCGTTGCCACCCAACTATGACAGACCAGTGGGATGTTGAAACCCAAGTATGGATTTTAGGGTCATCGGCTAATGGTTCAGGTTAGAAGTTAGTCATTTTGTGAAAGACTGTCTTTGTCTCTCTCCCCCCTCCCTCTCCTGTGTCTATAGAAATACGAGGCTAATATTTCTGAAAACTTTTTAAGTTAAAAGTTTATTTGCCCCCATTGTTTCCAAACAAGGGGCTGTTTGTAAATAGAATGCACATCTGCCATTATGGTTGCCAAACAGAATAGTAAAAGTGACAATTGTATGCATGTACTTTGTAACCTATGGCGGTAATTGCAAAATCGAACCGGTTTACCCAGACATGGGGTTGGGGGTTCGAACCGGACTAATCAGTCAAACAGATTTTTTTTTTTCTAAATGGGTTAAAAACCTTTAAAAAAAATTAAAAAAAGAAAAGAAAACCTTAGATTAAGTGTATAATATCTTATTATACACATTTATCTTACAAAAAAAATTGAAACAATTTTTTATAAATTAATATTTGAATACTATGGTCTTGTACATGATCCCAAGCAGGTCACATAAGTCTTTTTGTTGTCTAAGTTAGAATCTTTTTTGAAGATATTTTTGTCATGTAACATCTTCCAAAAATTAACAAAAATTAACAAGTCTTTTTGTTTCCTAGATTAGAATATTCTTTAAAATATTTTTATCATGTAACATCTTTTTTCAGGAATTAACATATTCATCCCAAAGATTGCATGAAAACTTTCTAGTTTCTTTTGTACAAAAATTGTTCACATTAGGGATAGAAGTTTATGCACTTTTTCGCAAATAATAAAAGTAGCCTGATGCTATTAAATCAAACAAAAACGTCAATTAATAACGTCAACTAATAAGAAAATGGGAAGGACCTGAGGATTATTAGTAACGTCAACTAATAAGAAAATGTGAAGGACCTGAGGATTATTGAGGCTAAGTAAATTTCAGAATCCAAGACAAAGATCAATTTTTTTTTTATAATAAAAAGGTTTGAAATTATGCCTCTTCCAATACTACTATAATCCCATTTCCATTACACGATTACAATCTCAATTTCATTATAATCCCATTTCCATTACACAATTACAATCTCAATTTCATTATTACAACAATTACAATTACAATCCCATTTCCATCATTATTACAACAATTACAATTACAATCCCATTTCCATTATTTCAAATATAATTATATCGTGATATCGTGCATTTTTAAAAAAAGAAGAATCGATTTTTTTGTCATATTCATCAAAAAACATATTGTTATTATAAAATCATAATTTTAACAAAAAATATAATTTTAGTAAGCAAAATACTTCCCATATTCATCATAAAAAATAATTTTATTAACTTAATTTTTTTTAAAAAAATTGGTTTCTCAAAAACCTCTAAAACGAGTAACATTTCAAGCAAAAACGACTCTCAATGTTCGGAAAATCGAACAAATCAATACAAAAGCTTTGTAAAGGCTTCAAACGCACCAAATCTAATAAAAAAATATTTGATATTTTTTATTTAATTTAAAAAATCGTAGAAAATTTAAACCTATGAAATTTTCATGATATCAAGCAAGAAATAGATTCATATTAAAAAAATAACTCAATTATAAATTAATGTACCTATTTTATATGACAAACGAAGCCTTGATGAATAAAATTCATAAATAAATTTGATAAAAAAGACCAGTAAATTGATCCAAAAGAAGATGAATTATGAGAGAGTTTGACTTGAACTATTGATTGGATCGTGCAGGTATATGAATTTATCTGCCACATTAAAATTCACAACCAAATGTGTCTTTGTCCAACCACCGCGTAAAGCAGCAAATTTTGAGGTCAAAATCAACCCCAAATATCTTGTTTTTTAAACAAATTAAAACATGGATATGGTAACCAATTCGATTATGATTCAAAATGCTCAACTTTCATCAATAATCGTTACCTATTAAAGATGAAATTAACGAAATGGCGGATCGAATTAGGGTTCTTCGAGTAGCTCGAACATAGGTTATTCAAGCAAATTTTTGGGTCAAAATCAACCCCCTATATCTTGTTTGATGAACTAATTGAAACAAGGATATGGTAATCAATTCGATTATGATTAAAAAATCTCAAATATAATAAATAATCATTACCAATTGAAGAAGAAATTGATGAAATGACAAAAATTTCAAAAGGTTAGAAAATCAGCCGCTTCAATCCCTAGGAACTATTGTTTTTTTATCTTTGATTCGAATTTTGTTGTTTATAGACAGTCAATAATGGTTTACAACACTAAAGCACCAAAAACACCAAAAAATGACAAGGAAGTTGAATAAGAAAAGCAAGAAAATTTGATTCACAGGTCTTGCTGCAAGTAATGGGGTCCATTTCAAAAAACGGCCTTTATTTCATTTTTATTGTTTTTTGCCAAAATAATGTCGTTTTAACATAAAATCGGTCCGTTAGATCAAATCCGGCCGATTAGACATAAATATGGCTGGTTCAACCCCTAAACCGGCCCTAATCGGAGTCGAAACCCTAGCGGTTCCAATCTAACAGGCCGGTTCCGATTCAGACTAGCAGGTTTTGCGAACAAGGATCTATGGTTTAATGGTTTGAAGGCTATTGGAACTCGTTTCTCTTACCGGGCAATGAGGATGTTGTGAGTACAACTTTTAGGTTTAAGGTACTTGTATCTTGTCTTTTCTGGACCGGACTGGCCATAAAATTTGTGAGGAGTTTGGTTTAGTCAAAATCAGTCTAATCGTCAGTTTAATTGGTTAGAACATATTTTGCAAAAAAAACGAAGAAAAAGAAAAATAAATATAATAATTTAATAAAAACATAATTTGTATTAAAAGTTTGTCCAACTTCATTTAACAAATCGAATAAAATCGTCTAGTTTAACTGATTAAAACTGGTCAAATATTAATTTTTATTAATTTTTAACCAAATTTGGTTTTACCTTGGAGGTGTGTACCTTGGAGTAGGTTGGCTAAAGCACGTGACAATCTGATCGGTTCGACTGCTAGTTCGGTTCGGTCTTGACCATAACTTCATTTTGTAGTTGGAAAAACAAACTCATTTTAATTATCTTGATGCACACATTAGCTAGTTCAAAACCTTTTTTTTTTTTAAAGAATAAGATGCCAAAAGATTTCCTACTCCTTGGGGGGTATACTATTAGTTTACTCCCTCGACTAAAATATATGCTAGGGATATTATTTGGATATCAAAATTTGGGGATGTAATCTCTGCAACCCATTGAATAATCTTAAAAAAAAAAAAATCTAAAACAAACCCTTTATGGACTATAAAAAATTAATGTCTCAAAATTGTATAGAAACGTCAAAATTAATTTCTAACTAGGTTGGGCCATGCATTGAACGGCCCATATCCGCCAAGAGAGCCCAAAATTCCCATATCACATTGCTTTTTTCTCTCCCTCTTTTCCCCTCTCTAAAAACCTAAACCTCTCTCTAAAAACCCTGAAACCTCTCTATGTAAAAGCCTAAAACCTCTCTCTCTCTATAAAGGATAAGGTTTCTATGAGACTTACGTTTTATTAAAACAAAATAAAGCTTTATCTCAAAGCCTCATATGGAAAACACTTTCGGTAATGAAAATCTCCATGATGACTCTAAATTCAATTTCCAATACCGACAATAAAATTTCAAATTAAAAATATGATAAATATCTTGTACATCTATGAACATTTATTTTTAAGGTGAAATGAGGGGTCTAGATAATTCGTTACAATATACACTATTTTTAGAGTTTGAAATCTTAAATTTTTTCCACAACCATAATGTTCAAGCCAAGCCAAGATGATCGATTTAAAAATTTTCTAATGCTTGGCTTGCAATTTTCTATGAACTATGAGATGCGGATTTACTTATTTTGATAGGGCTGCAGCCCTATCAAACCATTTTCCCTCTCAAACATGAAAGTTCTCTTTATGAAAACCTCAAACCTCTCCCTCATAACACACACTCAATCTCTCTCTCTCTCTCTCTCTTTCTCTCTCATGCCCATTACAAAAGTCCTCAAGTAAAGCACGCCAGTACACCAACTCTGTAGATTTGACGTTTTTTTTATTTGACCACGTAGGTTATACCACCCCTGTTGATTTGACTTTTTTTTTTATTTGAAAAATCTTCAAGTAAAACACGCCACACCACTTGGGTACCCCATCCCACTGGGGCCAGCCCCATCGTTGCAACCCTATGCCTCATGCACGTCAAGGTTTTGTCTGCCATGTTAAAGCCCATTTATATTGACTTTTCCTTGTAAAATTTTTTGATGTGGGGCTATTCGATGTCTTTAAAGCAAAGGGAGGTTTAAAACAGTGAGCTTGTCTAGTAGCGTGTAGATAACTTCGATGTAGGATTATTTGACATGAGAATTTATTTCAGGTTGCTTTACTAATTATCCCACATTGCAAATATGAATTTTTTTATTTATTTTTTTAATTTTATTAAAATATGACTGCAAATTTATGTTACGAAATTCTATATTTCTATCAACACTAATTATTATACATTAAATTACAAAAATTATTAAATCTTATATTTTTACTTATTACTTTATTTATATTATAAATTATGTAATGTATTATTTTTTATTATAATAGTAAATTAGATTTTTAAATTAAATGATATTATAAGACAAATTTCAAATTTACTTTTATTTGTATAGTAAAATGATGATAAAATAATAAAATATGAATCAATAATTCTAATTTCAATATATAATATTGTATTTAGTTAGGTTTTAATAAATGTTTGATGAGAATCTTCATACAGTGAAAAAACATTGGAATATTCGTATATTGATGTAAAAAAAATAGAAATTATTAATGTAGTACACTCATTTTTTATTGGATTTCTTAAAACAACATTTATAATAATTTTTAATATTTTTAAATTTTTTTTTAAGACCGAATCCAACTGATTTAGTCGATTCTCAAATCGAATGCCGATTCATCGATTTGGATAAGTTTTTTGGATATGCTTTTTAAATCGCTCTTTTAAATAGTCCAAT